TGCTAAAGTCAGTATGATTGAGGCTAATGCTGCTATCAAAGCACGGTTTTTAGATTACACTATTTGGCATGATCGCCTGGGTCATCCCGGTGCGAACATGATGCGTAAATTAGTCCAGAATTCTAAAGGGCACAACCTTAAACCAAATGGTATTTTCCCTCAGCACCTCAAGTGCACAGCTTGCTCACAAGGGAAACTGATTACCCGACCTTCACCAGTCAAAGTGTCTAAAGAGACCTTGAACTTTCTGGAAAGAATCCAAGGAGACATATGTGGACCAATTCACCCACCTTGTGGGACATTCAGATATTTCATGGTCCTCATTGACGCATCGACCCGCTGGTCGCATGTCTGTCTGCTCTCTTCTAGGAACCAGGCTTTTGCTAGGTTATTGGCCCAAATCATCAGATTACGAGCCCATTTTCCAGACTTCCCATTAAAGACTATACGTCTTGATAATGCTGGTGAATTCACTTCCCAAGCGTTTAATGAATATTGTATGTCCATGGGGGTAAGTGTTGAACATCCCGTTCCACATGTCCATACACAAAATGGATTAGCTGAATCCTTCATTAAACGAATTCAATGGGTTGCTAGACCATTACTCATGAGGTCACAACTCCCGGTCTCAGCTTGGGGACACGCAGTCTTACATGCCGCTGAACTAATATGCATACGACCATCTAGTGAGCACAAATATTCACCATCCCAATTGCTAACGGGTCATGAGCCAGACGTCTCCCATATTAAAACATTTGGGTGTTCAGTCTATGTACCCATTGCACCACCACAGAGGACTAAAATGGGACCTCAAAGGAGGATGGGAATATATGTTGGTTTTGATTCTCCCACCATCATAAAATATCTCGAGCCAACTACAGGAGATCTGTTTAAAGCCAGATATGCAGATTGCCGATTTGATGAATCGGGATATCCTAGATTAGGTGGTGAGACAGACAAGCTGGTAAAAGAACTTTCATGGAATCAAACATCCACACAATGGCAAGATCCTCGGACTCTAGAATGTGATTCAGAGGTCCAAAGAATTATACATTTACAAAAGCTAGCTAATCAATTGCCAGATTCCTTTGCTGACCCGAACAAAGTTACCAAATCGTACATACCAGCTTGTAATGCACCAGTACGAATAGATGTCCCCTCAGGGAAAAGTCAAGTTGCTACAGAGTCTGACGCACGTAAGAAACGTGGCAGACCACCAGGTTCCAAAGATAAGAATCCCCGGAAATCAAAGAAAGGTGCAATGATTGAAACCGGGATTCAAGAGAACACGGATACAGCCTCAGCTGATACTTACCCTATCGAACCATCTCAAGAGGTTTGGGACGCCAAAACTCAAGGTTCTGAAGGGATTGATAATAATGAGATCTCAATCAATTATATCATATTCGGTTCTCTATGGAACAGAAAAGATGTCGACATCAATGAAACTTTTGCATACAAGGTAGCACTTGAGATTGCGCACACGCAAGAGGATCTGGAACCCACGTCTATAATTGAGTGCACTCGTAGATCAGATTGGCTGAAATGGAAAGAAGCCATAAACGTGGAGTTGAATAGTTTAAAGAAACGGAATGTGTTTGGTCCGATCTTAAGGACACCATTCGATGTTAAACCAGTGGGAAACAAATGGGTCTTTGTGCGTAAAAGAAACGAACTCGGCGAAGTCGTTAGATACAAGGCACGCCTTGTAGCACAAGGATTCTCACAGAGACCCGGAATCGATTATGAGGAGACTTATTCTCCAGTGGTGGATGCAACTACATTTCGATTCCTCATAAGTCTGGCCATAAGAGAAAACTTAGATTTGCGGTTAATGGATGTTGTAACCGCATATCTTTATGGACCACTGGACAGTGAAATCTATATGAGATTACCAGATGGTATTGAGCTCAAAGATAAGCATGCATCTCGTGATAAACACTGCATTAGGCTGAACAAATCCTTATATGGACTGAAACAAAGCGGACGTATGTGGTATAACCGGTTAAGCGAATATCTCATCAGAGAAGGCTACGAAAACGATCCGATCAGTCCATGCATCTTCATCAGAAAATATCAAAACAAAGGATTTGTAATCATAGCAGTATACGTGGATGACTTGAACATCCTCGGAACATCTGGTGAAATCGCCCAAACAGTTGAATGCTTAAAAGCAGAGTTTGAAATGAAAGACCTAGGCAAAACTAAATTCTGTTTGGGATTACAACTTGAGTACGTCAATGACGGAATCCTTGTGCATCAATTGGCATACACTGAAAAGGTACTCAAGAGATTCAATATGGACCAGACCCACCCATTAACCAGCCCAATGGTTGTGAGGAGCCTTGGATTGGATAGTGATCCATTCGGTCCAAAGAAGGACGATGAAGAAATCCTCGGTCCTGAAATGCCATACCTCAGTGCTATAGGAGCATTAATGTACTTGGCTAGTCACACTAGACCAGACATCTGCTTTGCCGTGAGCCTCTTAGCTCGCTTTAGTTCGTGTCCAACTCAAAGGCACTGGAACGGTATTAAGCACATCCTTAGATACCTTCAAGGTACTAAGGACTTGGGATTATTTTATTCTAACAATAACAAGGATGGTCTAGTTGGTTTTGCTGATGCAGGATATTTGTCAGATCCGCACTGTGCCCGGTCTCAAACCGGTTATGTTTTCACGCATGGAGGAACAGCCATATCTTGGAGATCCATGAAGCAGACTATTGCCGCTACCTCATCCAACCATGCGGAAATCTTGGCCATCCACGAAGCTAGTAGAGAGTGTGTTTGGTTGCGGTCCATGACTCAGCATATCCGATCAGATTGTGGTATGGACGAAGATAAGGAGCCTACGGTGATGTATGAAGACAATGCAGCTTGTATCGCTCAACTCAAGGACGGCTACATCAAAGGTGACCGGACGAAGCATATTCTGCCCAAATTCTTCTTCACTCATGAGCTGCAGAAGGATGGTCAGGTCAAGGTTCAGCAAGTCCGATCAAGCGAAAATTCAGCCGATCTATTCACTAAATCATTACCGACTTCTACACTCCGGAAGCTCATTCATCAGATAGGAATGCGTAGACTTAGAGATCTACAGTGATGCCTAAACCAGGGGGAGTAATACGTGTTGTACTCTTTTTTCTTCACCATAGTTTTTCCCACTGGGTTTTCCTGGTAAGGTTTTAATGAGGCAACGTTCCCCAGCGCATTATAGAGATCCCGGTTTTGTGACAGGCACGGTTACCTTATCCAAGGGGGAGTGTTATAAACAAATGGACTTCTAGTAATCGGCCCATTAACCATCAGGTTAATGTCTCATGGCCCATTAGAGTTTCTGATACATTAGTTATGTAATGTATATATATACTGCTTATGGAAATAATAAGATCTGAGTTTTTTCCCTTAATAATTTCAAAATTAAATTGTTATATTAAATAAAAGATACTTTTAATTAAATATTACACCAAATTAGATTAATATTAAATTAGTTTCTAAATATTTAAAAAAAAAAAGAGTATTTAAATGTAGATACTAAAAATACTTTTATTTTAATAATATAAATATAAAATATTTTCTCTACTTTTCATTCACCATTATGGATAACACACGCACACACACGGAAACACATGCATACACATGAACACACACGCACACTGCACACACAAATTTATATTATAGTATAGCAGAAAATCTAGTAACTATGATATCTAAAAAAGCTAATCATGCTCAAAATTAAAAACATAAAAGAGCTATGTCATATATGTATTTTAGATACATCATACATGTATACTGTTTTACAACAAAAAAAATGTATACACTGTATCTATACGTTTGTAAATGGAAAAAAGATAGAAGAGGAACTTTATAAATAGAATGCAAAGTAAATTTACTAGAATTTCATAATTTGCAACTTAAACTTAATTTTTAGAGAGATTTACTATATAAAAAAAAACTTTCACCACTTATTCTTACAGAATAAGCAGTTTCAGCTATTATGACACTTTTACATTGTTCATTTTCATTAAATCCAAATTTGCCTTGCATTTAGAATAATTTAGCTGTCAATTTTTTTTTAAATATGTAAAATAAATTAGAAATCTATTTAAAAATTCATTTGGAAGTCGGACAAATAAATGTCCACTGCATGGACAGATGTTAATTTATTGACATAATATCGACGTAGATAAACATTTCACACAAATATCAATTAAAATAGGTACACAGAATGACAGAAACATGTCCACCCTATTATTATCGTGGACATATTAGCATAACTCTTTTTAGCAACACAAAATGATTATTAATGGATGTAATTTTCTCTAATTTTTACCATACATGACATAGGTAATAAGATAGAAGAATATTACTTAAAGGCTAAGAAAAATAAATGATGGATACTAGTACTCCAACTTCTTACAATCTTACCTATTATCATCAACATTCTTACAGTCTCACCTAAGTATCTGTCGCTGTTAACTTGTTCATTAAAAATGTTTTTATGAAAAATATAAAAGAGGAAACCGTGATAATAAAAAAGGAGTGCATCTACATAATCTTCCAGTAGAAAATATAGACATACTATTTTGTTCATGGATTCTGTAGATGAGCATTCCCATAATATGAATATGTTTTTTTTCTTTTTATGTCCCCTTATTTTTCCCGGTCCAATATTTGTTCTCGAAAGTCTGAGTTTCCGTATACTTTCTAATTTAAACGAATATACTAGATATCAGTTTTCTTGTTTTTCTCGAGTTAGGATAAAAAAACTTGGAAGAATATATTCTATTCGAGCGATACATGCATCAAATCTTCAAATAATAAGTTTGTCGGCTTTTCGTTCATGCTTATTTCGTTTGTTACTTCTATGCAATTGTGTTGAGATATAGCTCTGAGCCTGTGAACCATACATGACTCACAAAGCGTAATAATTTCCTCATGGTTTGAAGAAACTGTGCCAAAGTCTATTTTGAAAACAACTCGAGATGCCCAAGTTTGATATTTCGATTTAGAAGTCCTGTCATCAAACCACAATCAAACCAAACTGAACCCAATTTCTGTCGTAAAACAAATTCCACTTAACATATTTCATACGTCATCAATCACTTTGAAACTCTTTTAGTCTATACAACTCTGTCAAATGTATCACAAACACTCCAGAATCTTCTAAAGCTTTGCAAATCAATTCATCAATAGAACCTTCTTAGGTCATTGTCAATAATCCATGAAGCTTCTAGAGCTCGTAACTTGGAGTTTCATATGAAGACTGGTCCTCAGAAGTTTCATCTGAAGACTGCTCCTCAGAAGTTTCATATGAAGACTGATTCTCAGAAGGTTCATTTGTAGACTGCTCCTCAGAAGTTTCATATGAAGACTGCTCCTCAGAAGTTTCATATGAAGACTGATCCACAGAAGTTTCATATGAAGACTGTTCCTCAAAAGTTTCTCCAGATTGATAAGTCTCAAAGAAGAAGTTGACCCCATTCACAACATCATAAACCATCAATCCAACCCGTGCACCGACCCAATTCCCCAAGTGACTCCCAACAAGATAACCAAACCTACCAAATCTCTTCTCGCCTACATACCCTCCTGCATAAGCACCAACCAAAGTTCCAGAACCACGCAAGAAGCCTTCGGTTAATGTCCCTCCAAAGTAAAGCGCTTCAAAGAAATCCCATCCAGCTGCTACTACTGGTCCTATGATCCGTTTAGCTTGCCTGGTCGCTAGTTTAGCCGCTTTTGCACCTGCGTTTTGAGCCTCTCTTGCTGCTTCATTTGCAGCCATGCCTTTTACCAAGGACTCGTGCAAGGCTTTCTCTATCGCGATGTTACGGGCTTTCTCCACGTGAATAGATCTTATGTTGTAGAAATACAGCTTCACACCTTCTTTAACCGCACAGGCTATGGTTCCTGAACTCATATCAAAGCAGTTCAGGAATGTGAACTCTCCACTCTTTGATGCAGCTTCTATTCCAACAAGCTCCCGACATTTCTCCGCTGTTTAACATACGAAAGAAGAAAACATAAACAGATATTCAGACATCACAACCACTCATATAACCAGTTTAGATGACCAGCACACAAAGAACATAGGGTTTAAAAAAAGATTTGAACTTTAAATTATGGTTGCGATATTTAAGCAGCCAGATGAAATTTGAAGATCAAACATAACAGATATTCAGACATTTCAAGAACTCATATAACCAATTTAGGTGAGAAACACACAAGCAAAATAGTTTAAAAACAAAAAGGTTTAAACTTTAGACAATGGTTCCGAGATTTAAGCAGCCATTTTGTGAAATTTGAAGATCAAACAATAATTCCACATCACACTTTTTAGTTCATGAATCAGATTAAGTGAATGTTTGATTAGCAACAACATTGAGCTACGAAGTAGAAACGCCAAATCTAATCGGAAGTCCAAAATTTACATAACAATATGTATCAGACGAAGAATTAAACTTCATTTTTCTCTTAAACCCAGATCAAGGAAAGAGTATTAGATCATCATAACACATTCAAATTTCTGGATTTTGACAATAGAAGTCCAAATTTTCAGTTACAAACTAAGATCCTAAATCGAGATCTCCACATCACTTTAGCACAAGTTCCTGAAAAAGGCGACACATTTCCGAATAACCTAAAGCAAAAAAATCCAAAATCCAAAACCCATGGTTGATTTCATATGAATATCGAAAAAACCAAACAAGGTCAAAGAAGCAAGGAGATCGAAGTACCGGTGATACTGAGAGCGACGATTCCGATAGCGAGTAGCAAAAACTGAACCTTTCTACTTCGGAAGTCCATGAAGAGTTTAGAATCCCCAAATTTCTTAACCCTAAAACAATCCAATTCACAAAAATTATGCTAAAGGAAACAAAACATTGAGTGTGATGAAGGATTACGAAAACCACAAGACCGAGGGAAAGAATATTCAAAGACTAATGTGGATGTGAGTCATGTGACGGTTAAGCAAATGAGACCCAGTCGCAGTTTAGGGTTGAAGTAATTTGGTTTAATTCGGTTAAGGCAAACCTGATGGTTTCTTTCCCTCTATACAATCATCAACTATACAATTAACTCATTATGTACAACTATATACCTCAATAGTCCCTTTCAAGATGGAACAAAAATGTTGAGGAGACCTATATGATGATCCTGGAGATCACTAGATATGTTTAACAGATAATGAAGATGATTAGAGATGATTTCGGGGTGAAATTTTCGTATAATAGGAGTGATTTAGCTCTGGGAGGAAGATAGAAGGTCAGGTCGGAGCAGTAAGAAGTGTTTGTAAAGAGAGAATAATTAGCGTTTCGAACTAAGTCTGAAAAGAGTCCAGTTCGATGCTTTTAATATTGTTACAGCGAGCTCGGTAGAGAGACAAGTGTATTAAAGTAGAGAGAGAGAGTAATATATTTCGGATCCCCTCATAAATGATCTGTTGAGAGTATTTATAGCGGGATCCGGGAGACGAGTTTCCTCCAAATCGGGGCGACGTGGCAGCTTCAGCGCATCTCGCGGGTATGGCGTCTCGAGCCGCGCATCTGAACCACTCCGCTGATCAATGGGGTCAAAGGGAAGGCGCCCCAGACCCGGTCATCGGGAGGCGGTGGTCACCAGCGAGGCAAACGCGGCGGTCGAGGCGGTGATCAGAATTTGCGACCTCGGAAATCCAAAGTTCCGAAGGCTCCACGGATTCCTTACGCGGAAGGGGGGTCAGCGACCTGGAGTAATTCAGATTCCGTATCGGCGATGATTTCTGGGTGCGGGTGATCGTCCTTGGCGTCCTCCGAGCGGGTGTGTATGCCTGTGCGAGGCTTATTTCACAAAGTGCGGGCTGCGCTTTCCTCTTCCCGATCTGTTTGTCTCGTACTGTCAGAGGCGGGATTTGGTGTTCTCGCAGATCTGCCCGACGACGGTGCAGAATATAGTTGTGCTGGTGACTCTGGGTCGGAGGCCGGCGTCGACGTGACGCTCGATCTTTTCGAGGATCTCACCAATCACAAAAACAACCCTGCTATCTCGGGTTCTTACTATGCTTCCTTCAGGCCGGGGTTGAATATCACTTCGGACAAGCCGAGCAAGGTTGGTGATTGGGAACGCAGTTACTTTTATGTGTGGGCCAATGAAGTTACCGGTCTCGTTCCAGGTTGGAACTACCGATATGACTGGAATTTTTCTCCTGGTAAGGCTTCCGAAGTCTTTTTCTTATTTCGTTTTTTTTTTTTAGTTTCGCACCGAGATGGACTCAAAGTAGGGGATTACGAGCCGCTCCTCGATAAGCTTAGGTCGGTGGAGAGACGCAGGTGGGTGGATTTTTCTGCCGACCGGGTAGCGGCGGCGTTTTCGTCGATGGCGTCGGGTAAAGGCCTAATCCTTTCTCCCTTTCATTTATTTATTAATAGGAGTATGTTGCAGGCCGCCCGGGGCATTTTGCTTCAGCCGGTGCTACTTCGTCGAGGGCACCGCCAAGGCCGGTTGATCCACCGGCGTCGGGTGAGAAGCGGTCGAGGCAGGGCGCTGGGACCGCTCCGTCTTCAGCTTGGACGAGGCCGCTCGTGCCACCAACAAAATCTGTTAGAAGATCGAAGTCGGGCGCTGTGACGGGTGCATCCTCATCTGGGCCGAAACCGGGCATCGCGGCGAGGTCGTCCGTTCCGACCCCAAGGTCGACGCCGGTTCCGTCAGCTCCACTGTCGGTTCCATTGTCTACTCTAACTGCATCGTCGCCGACGTTGACCCCTGCTCTGAGGCCTGGTGGGTAAACGAAAAATGTAAATTGCGAGTCGAGTGTTCTGTTGTTGTGGGGACTGATGCTTTATTCTCAGGTCGCTCCCGTTTCGTTATTCCTTCGTACGCGGCTACTCTTCTTCCCACGCCGGCTGTTCCGCACTCTGGTGCTACCGTCGATGAGGAGACCGAGAATGTTCCAGCATTGAGGAGGAGGACGGCTGCGGAGAGAGAAAGGGAAGACGGTGTCGCTCCGGATGCGGCATCGAAGAGACGGAGGACGGGGGAGGCGGGAGCAACGACGTCCGAGCAGGGGCCGATGCGTCCTGGTGAACAAGAAGGCGGGGTCTCTGAATCTCAAGGAGCTGATCTTCCGGTGAATAGAGGAGATCAAGGCGTCGAAGGAACCGCGGCGACCGATCACGCGGGGACTGGTCCCGAAAATGCGGGAGGGCGGTGGCGATGGTACTCAGGTAGATTATTTGCCTGAGAGCCAAGTAGGTCAGGACGATGTGGGTCCCGAGAGCGGGAATGGCGGACTTCTGGGAGACGACCTGCCTGGCGGGGGTTATAGTGAGATTGTTTCTCAACACCATGAGCGTGTGGAGGGCGAAGGGCAGAGGGACGAAGGGGAGACCGAGACGCGGGCACCCGGGATGCCTACCAATGAGCCGGGTCTGCAGGAGGATCACCGCTTTGATTTTAGCTACAGCGAAGCAGGTCGGAGCATCCACTGTGATAAACGTCAGTGCGCTGAACTTATCCATGCGGCATCTCACGGAAGGCAGCAACCTTATCGCTTTGTTGAGGATTTGGCGGTGACCGCGAACTTCCAGATAGCTTCGCGGGATGTGATTCGGGTAAGTCCAGGAGCTTGCGGACTGTATTTGTTGTGCTGTTCCCTATTACTGACTATGCATTTTGTGCAGGTCGGGGCGTGTTTGACCGCCATATGCGAGAGCTATGAGAAGCGGCTCGACGATTCTCAAGAAGAGATCGAGAGGTCGGCGGGTCAAGTGATGGCTCTCGAGCAGGAGCAGGCCCTGGCGGGGGAGAAGATTTGGGGACTAGAGCGGGAGCTGGCGGAAGAGAGCGCACTCTGCCACGCTAAGGGAGGCCTCGACAGAGGTGGAGAGGCTCTGAGCCGAACTGGAGCAGAAGAGGGTGAAATTGAGGGGGTTGGAGGAGCTGTCGCGTCCGAGACGGCGAGGGAGGCGACCGTCGAGCGGGATATGCTGCAGTCCGATCTTAATGCGGAGAGGGTGAAGTCCGCCGGTCTTGAAGAGTGGGTGACCAACTCGTCGGACGTGATCAGGATACTCTCCTCAGAGCGGGATCACTATAAGGCTGAGTCTTTGCGGGTATCAGATATGTACCTCCGGTTAAATGAAAAGTTCAAGGCTGCCGAGGATCATCTCGCCAAGGAGAACGTGCACATCGCGACTGGACAAGCGGACAGGAAGCGTAGGTGGCAAGCGAAGATGATCAAGATCCGAGCTCATTTGGCTGGTCGGGAGAAGGAGTCGCCGGTACAACTTCTTCTGAGCTAGGTGGTGGGGACGCACGAGTGTCTCGTGAGGTTGAAAGATGCATATGGCTTGACACCTCCTCCGGGAGTTTTAGAGAAGTTGAGGAGCGACGAAGCCGAGTTTAGAGCCCAGCTCGAGAGGATCGACTATCCCGATCTTACTCCGGACTATCTCTGCCTCCCAAGCGATGCCCCTCTGGTGATTCGTGCTGATGCTGCTCTGCCCGTATATGTGGTAGAGAGGACCGGGACCGGTCAGACGTCAGTTGCTCCTGAGGTGGCGCCAGGTTCGTCTTCAGTGCCTGGCCAAGGCGTGGTTCCTCCCGTGCCGGACTCCGTGAACCCTGATCCGTCCTCTGGAGGGAGAGGTGGAGCGGGAGACATGGATCGGCCCTTTCGCGGTCAATTTAGGACGAACGTGCGAATGCTGAGCCCGGAGGATGCAAGGGACCTGCGTGCTGACGACGCTTAAGTTTGAGCTCTTCCCCCCCCCCCCTTTTTATTATTGTTTTTTTGGGTTGTAGGCCGAAGTGCCAAGATTTCGATGTAGGCCGTAAGTCGTTTGTGTATATTTGGTTATCGAATGGAGAATTTTCAGTTCTGTACAATGCGAGATTGAGTTCGGCTTATATGTCAGAAATTGTATTGAGTGTGACTAGCTAGCTCGGCTAAAAACACTTATAGGTTGTGTGTTGCGCGATGCAGATCGGAACCTGGCTAAAGACACTTATCAGTTTGTGTGTCTATAGATGCGAGTCGGAACTCGGCTGAAACACTTATTGATTCGTGTGTTAAGGGATGCGAGTAAGGACTCAGCTGTATTTTAGCTCGGGAGCTGAACTTAGACACTTTTCGCAAAACCAGGTCGCCTTCTGTGAAGAATCTGCCTTTGACCTTTTTGTTATAGTACTTGGAAGCGAGCTGCTGGTAATTCTGCATGCGGAGCAGGGACTGGTCGCGTTCTTCCTCAACGAAGTCGAGCTTGCTGCGGATCATGATGCTGTTTAGATCGGGATCTTGTGTGAGCATCGAGCGGCGGATTGTGGGGATTCCGACCTCTGAGGGGGCCATTGCTTCCATGCTGTGCGACAGACTGAAGGGAGTTCGTCCTGTTGCGCGCCGAGGTGTAGTGCGGTGAGACCACAGGACTCCATCGAGCTCGTCTGTCCAGAGACCCTTTTTTTCGTCTAGTCGTTTTTTGAGGCCGTCCAAGATTGTTTTGTTCGTTGCCTCGGCTTGCCCGTTTCCTTGTGGGTACCTCGGGGTAGATTTGCTCAGCCTGATCTTCCATTTCGCACAGAAATCTTCGAAAATGATTGACGTGAACTGGGCGCTGTTATCCGTAATGATCTCATAAGGCAGACCGTGGCGACAGATGATAAATTTCCATACGAACTTGCGAACGTCCTCAGCGGTGATCCGGGCGTATGATTCGGCCTCAACCCATTTGGTGAAGTAGTCTGTCATGACCAAGTGGAAACGCTTTTGGCGGGACCTGGGCAGCGGTCCCACGATGTCCATGGCCCAACGCATGAATGGGTAGGGCGGTGATGCCGTGGTGAGGAGCTCGGTGGGTGAATGGATCATAGGACCGTGGCGTTGGCATTTCTCGCACCGGGCTGCGAACTTGTTGCAATCTTCGATCATTGTTAGCCAGTAGTGTCCTTGGTTACGGATCCGGA